ATATCCTGATTTTCGAATTTACTTTGCCTAAAATATTATTTATATTTGGGTTAACATTTCTTAGACTTAAATTAAATACAATTATGACCAAATAAATTTACTACATAATGAATAAAAACTTAAAATAGGTATAATTTCATTTCATTTAAAAGGCAAATATTACACCAGTTAATGACCCAATAATATGTTGACCTACAAGCACATTGTTATCCCCGTCAAGTCAAGTGGAATCAAAATCAATTTCAAGGAGCTCAGTGGTGCAAGCAATGACAGCTTCTTAACCTCGTAGCTGTGAAAACTAGTTGCCTTTTAAGAGCTTTAGACAAGAGCATTTCGATGCCAATCAATACAGAATTTTCCTCGCCACTTGACCAACTCCCCAAGAGAATAGAAATGTCCCTGCAAAGGACATACAAAACAACAGCTGTTATCCTGCAGCAAAGGCCCTAAAAACGGAGTGGATTTTAGAACGTGGCAAACGAGAAATACAAAAAGCGAACACAATGAACGGGAAACCCTCGACGGACACCAAAAGCTGGAAACGCTTTTCAAATGCAGATACAATGCCCCAAAAACAGACGTTTCATAGGCAGCAAAATGTCACGTTTCGACCGTAAAATGTGCTAAACTGTTAATACGACAAACATACCATAGGCGAAATCAAATAACAGCAAAGCCGGAATGAGTGGTCCAGCCATTGGACGTCGTTTTTTCATTTCGCTGTCCCCGCGTTTTTATGCAAATTCCGTATTGAGAGGGAATACCTGAAAAGGTTGAAAATAAAAGTTAAGTTAATTGCTTTTGCATAAAGCAGTCGCCAAGAGGCAGAAAGTCAAAAGAGAAAGCTGCCAAGGAAGCTGGACGGTGGGGAAAAAATGAAACTCAGTCGAGCTGCCAGTTGAGTTGCTGCTCAATTGAGTGGAAAAATTTTCATCCATTGGCTTCCATTTTGCGGGGAGCGTTTCGGCAAGGGTGCGGAAAATTCAAGGCAGTCTGAGAAAAAGTTTGCAAAAAATTGTTGAAATGTTCAAGCGGAGCTAAGATATATAAGTCTCAAAAAATTAATAAACAAGCCACCAGTTCATTTGCTCAAGAAGAAAAAGAGAGTTAGTTTGTTTAAAGAAAAAATATATATTTTAAACTAGACATAATTTCTTTGCATATATTATGTTTCACAAGCAAAGTCAACCAGAAAAATGTTATCTAAGTTCTTAAATAGTAGTAGTTAGCTATACAATATTTCTTTGTTTCCAAGAAATTTTAAAAGTACTTATTTTATTGTGAAACTATGAAAATAAGTTTCCTCTGATACGAACGTAATTAAATTCTGTTGAGGTAATTTATTTATCAAGCATCTTTTAAAACTTAAACAATGCCATGTCCAGAATAAATTAAAAATAATTTAATTATCATAAATGCCTTTCTAAAGAATTAACAGGCCAATCTTCTTTAAATTAAATATTCCAAAAAAAATAATAAAATTCAATTTGAACTCCCTCGGGAAGCCCGAAAAAACCGTGATTAATCTAATCATGTCTATCAGCGTTTGTTAACAATCTCCTGAAAATCTCGATCGAGCAAGGGCAGCCTTCTACCTTTAACCCATTTCACTTGTCAAAGGCCAAGTGAAAATCTGTGCGTAAGCCAAATGAATTCGGGTTCGGGTTAACTGGCCCCATAAAGAAGCTTAATAAATGAGGGTAAGGGCGGTCCTTAGCAGCTAATAAGTACCTCAAACAAGTTTCTTAATCCCATGCCCAGCATTTTCACGGCTAGGTCAATGTACACGTTGACAAACACAGGACCCTACCTAAAAACCCCAGCTGGGAATTCATTAGAGGGTCCAGATGGCTTTAAGTCAAATGCTCGTGGGCTAAAAACAATGACTCGACTTCAATGAGAGTTGAACGACTCCCACAAAAAACACCAGAAAACATTTCTTCGAGAGGTAAACGGCTCTGGTTGCCCGGCAAAGTATGCAGCAATATTTTACACATGAAAGTTTAGCGCCGCAGCAAAAAAAAAGCGAAGAAAAAGGGATCGGACCCCGGACTACGGACAAAAAACACATTGTTGGCCGCACGGGCTACATAAATAATTTGCCACCACACACTTACTCACTCACCGAGTCCTGGCACTTTGACTAAATGGTGTGTAATAAAATTTAAATTGCTTTTGTCTGGATTTTCTTTTAGTATTGCCGTTAAAGTTGCCCTTATGAAAAAGGAATTTCCTCATCTAGCCCAAGCAGACACTAGGGTAAATCCACATATGTCGTTAGAAAATGTTGGAAAAAATTATTTATTTTTTAAAATTTTAGCTAAGGACACTTTTTTTATCAAAATTCCGGCTAACCAATATTAGTTGGAAATTTAATTGATGTTTATATTCTAAAAACAATTTTAGTTCTTTAAAGCCAAGTTTCTTCAAGAATTCGTTAAATTATATTGAAGAGTTTTCAAAAAATTTGTTGATAGATTCGTAATCTTAAAGCAAACTTAGTTTTTATTTATGAAACTTAACATGCAGTCTTAGAAAATTGCATAGCCTTTACAGCTTGTTTGTAGAAAAGAACTAAAACTAATTTAAAATACAAATTGCTTTGTATATATAAGAACTTTAAACATTTTAATTAAAATTCCAAATAACTATTTCAAAAATTAAGTATCGAATACTAAATGTAACTTACCCCTCAAAGGCTAATGTTTTTATTGTTAATTTAGCTAGCCTTTTCTCGTAAATTGACCCGCCGTGCTGGCTGGACATTTTGACATTTATAACAATTGTCCAAATTGCGCTAATTAAATATGATTTAGCTGGCCAGTGCAAACGTCTGTCTTTGGCTGAGCTGTCAATATTTGTCAGGAAGCGGGCGATAAAGCGACCGTGTCCTTACACTCTCACACTCTCACACAGACGTGTTTAGGACTGGCCCTGACCCCTGACATTAGACCCTGCATGTAACTGGCCTCGGGCAACAAAATTTGTTTATAATTCAAATACCAGAAAAAAAAGGCCAACTATGCAACAGCAACGAAAATTGTGGAATTGTACAAAAAACGATGGCAAGGAAAACACGTTAAGCAAACACGATAACGATACTATATAGATACGAGAAGGGAGCTAGCAAGGACAACAAGGACACTGTCGAAACACAAGCAGGCAAATTTATTTCAATTTAAAAATTTTGGTCACGCTCAGCACAAGAAGCGAGTTAAGCGAGTGAATGGGGGAAAAAGTGGGAACTTGGGGCAACTGCCATTTGTATAATTGCTGTCGTGATGGAGGAGTAAGTCTTGTCCTTTGCCAGCCCCCCGAAGATTCCCAGTTTATGCCATGACACGCTCCAAGGACGCTTGGCACCAAATGGATGAGGACATTATCATCTGTGGACAGGGGGGCTTAAAAAACGGCCATACGAAAACTAGCCAGGGCGAAACAAACCGGAGGCTAGATGGTATTGAAATTCGAGATGAGCATTGTCCAGTGGAATGTCCTGCAGGCTACGAATTAATTTCATATAATAATAAAAAGCACGGAAACATTTTCTGGCTTGCCTTGAGAGAAATAATATTTCAAATTCAAAGTTTTAGATAATACCTCATAGGCAAAAAAATATAATAATACCTCACTTCTTTCTTCTAAGAAACATTAACAATCTTTTAAACTAAATGTTTCCATTTTAAAACTTAATGCTTGCTATCTTAAAAAACATTTACCCTTTTAAAAAATCTACCCGAAATTACAAGCCAACATTTACGCGCAGATTCTTGGAAAAATAAACCACAAACCTTAAAAGTTATCCCTTTTTAACATCGGACTCCTGTATGAAATATTATGGCTTTGGATGATTTTTTTCAATTTAAATTTCAATAAATCGACCCGCCATTAAATTAAATTTATTTAAGGAAAAACCTTAAGTGATTTCTCTGTGATTTGCTCACCTTCAAATATCAATTCACTTCGCCATCTCCAATGGCATATTTATGCAGGAAAATGAGCCAGCCAGCCAGCTAGGCAACCGTCGACGATTTATGTCTGGGAATTACTTGATATGCAATGGCGATTCGAAATCGCAGACGGGCAGTGGCACTTCAGTGCCGACAAGGCTGCTAGTGTACTATACCCGTGATATATATGATATAGTAGAACCGGACTGTCCGGGGCCTTGACAATGGCAATGAGAGTCTCGGACTCGAGTGTTGACATCGATTGACAAGGTGTTTGAGGGTGGCGGTGGTGGTGATGGTACCTTCAGTTCGAAGGACGCACCACAACAACGGTAAACTTTTTCCAACCGAGTTCGAGTTCAAGTCGGCAGAACAAAAAATGAAACGTGAATGTCGTTAAGTTGGAGTAACGGGTAACCCACGTGTTGTCCTTGCCAAAGCGTTTGGATATGTGCAACAAGCAATCAGCCAGGTGTGTAGGGGCCTGGGAATCGGACCAGGTGTCTCTGTCTATATATACTATATACATATCTGTGTGTGCGGTCAGATTGTTGTGGCTGTGGGAACTAAAATAAAAAAGTAGTCGAGAACGGCCGATGGATGGGCACACAAAACTTGTGGCATCCTTGAGGCAATCAACGAAATTATAGAGGAAATAGTAAAAGTTTACGACAACTTTCAGACACACAAGTTAAGTGTTCTAATCCGGCCACAGGAAACTCTGGTCAAAAATGAGAATAAAACAGACAATGGAAAAGAGTGATTGTTTGTACATTCAGAATTACATTTTTCCAAAGCACTGTTGTACTTTAGAACTTTGTTCTAACAAACCAGTGGAGGGTGCCCAAGAAAACTCTTAAAAAAAATTTGGAATTTGGTATATAAATGTTAACCATATAACAAAAACAATATTTGAAAATTAAGTTTATTATTAAATTAAATTGAATTTTTAAATAAATTGGCAAAAGTGAAGTTCGGAACAGAAGCGTAAGAATAAATCAAGGTTGGCAACAATTTACTACTAGCCATAAATAAATCAGTGTAAATTATTACAGTGCCATTTAAATGAAGTCGTAAACACTAAATTATCGCACTCTGGGGACACTGGGCAGCACTTAAGATTGTCAACAAGAGCCATTAGCATGTGATGCCATCCGCAAGGCAAACTTCATTCAGAGTAACGAATTGAATTGCTAAAACTAATTATTGGACTGACCCACGCAGCTGAGGCTATATGGGGGCTAAGGAGAGTGGGGTTTTTGGTGGTTAGGGAGGAGGTTTAAGGTTGAGGGGGTTCCGGATTCAGATCCGTGTCCGTGTCCGGGCGGGTGATTTATGCTTGCAGGCGTCGCAAAAGCATTCATCCATCCTGGCACCAACAGTATATCCTTCAACTTGACCACCATGAATGTTGGCATGGGAAGGCGGACTGTTCTTCATATTGCGCTTGCCATTCAGCTAGCTATGTAGCTATGTATGTGTGTCTGATTGTGTGTGAGGGAAATGTCCTTGTCAAACACTAATGGCGCCGACGCCATTGCCTTTGTCCTTGCCAGCGTGTTAATGTGCGACAGTTTCCTGCTATGACGTCTCCATCCAACGAGCTAAAATCGAATTGAAAAGAAGCATTTTAAAATTCCCTGTTTGTTTGAACGAGGTAAAGCAATTGAAATATGTTTCCGGCTTGCCGTGCATTCGATCCGTCTCCTTTGGGCTAAAATGCACTGAAAGCCAGGACATCTGCTCAGCTCACATGAGGAGGTCTCTGGGGTCAACAACAGAAATGCTGCATTCGCTCCTGCACGAATGCCTGATTTATCCATTTATCCATTTCTCCGGCTCGATTTCTTTTTTTGCAGAATTTATGCCTGGTGCAGTTTTCCATCGATTTTCGTCTTGCGCCACAACGGACTGGGGATGAAACACCAAACACATAAAACGGATTTGATATTAAAAAAATATGCAGGTAAAAATACGTAGCAATATAAAAACGTTAGGGTGGTATTATATAAGTTTAAGTTATTTTTGTAACGTCACTTTTGATGTCATAAATCTATCAAGTTTTTGTTGTATTTTTAAATGTTTGAAAAGTGTTTTGATAAATCAGAATTGCACTAAAAATATTTCAAATTTATAACAGATATTTTTTTAAAAAAGAAGTTCCCCAAGGCTATAGAAAATAAGATAAGTAATAATTTGCTAATCCTCTTTGCTCGTGTGCTTAAAACAAAACCACAAACAAATTTTTTTAAGCTAATCTTATAGCTCACCAGAAACTTTTTGTGGTTACATTACAGAAAATTGCAAATATATTAGAATATGTTTTACATATAAAGACAACGGAAATGAGTTAACAAAATGTATCGCATAGAAATGGTTCATTTAAATTATTATTATACTAAAAAAAACAAAATATTTCCAAGAAAAACAAAAAAATTTAAGAAGTTTAAAGTCGAGTTTAAAAGGGGCTTAGATTTTATAGTTTAAAGGCCATATGCTTGACCATTTTATTTTTTGTATCTATATTTTGGGCTAAAAATGAACTGTAGAATGTGTCCCCGTTTGACTTTGACAAAAATCACAGGGCCACCCTAGGCACACAATTTGGCAATTTCTTGTAAAAAGCCGCGAGCGCTGAACACCAAACAGTGTACACCATAGACCATACACCATACACCATACACCAAATGGCACACAACGACAAACAATGGCAAACAATGGCTGCCAGCGACTGCGGCTTATCGGCAAATGCAACATGGCGGCGGCCAAGTCACGTCGCAGCCGCTCAGGCCCTGAGTTGCTGTTATTGCACGGTAGTTGCCATTTGCTACCGGAAAACAACACACAAGCCATTTTTTAATACAGACACACTCGCCGCGCTGACGTGCATACAAATTGCGAAAAGGGGAACGCAAACAAGCGGCAAGTGCCACAGTTTAAATTGAAAAAATAATGCGCGAATTGCGCCAACAGCATCCAAGGTCGGCATGGCCGAAATTGAGGCGCATAATGTCATGTTGCATCGCCAACGCAAATATTTATTGGCACCGCACGAAAATGTCAAAGGCAATTGCTCCTGCCCGAAGAAAAGCCACACGCAAGTGCGGAAATTAAATTACTCTGTCAAACGCATAGCTGTTGCGATCAATTAGTTTTAAATTACCAGCAGAGTTTCCAAATTTCCAGGACTTTAAACGAAAGCGGCAAATAAAGTTAGTTCAGTTTTTCCCTGGCAATTAATAATTATAATAACTAAATATTATAATTTATTCTTTAAATCATGAAAATAGCATTTTCATTTTTTTTAGGAAAATCATCCATTTATCCATTGAAAAATGTGAAATTAATTTCCCTGCAATACAAATTTTGATATTATCTCTTTTATTTATTAACTTTGGATCTAGTTAATTGATTTAACAAACCATTTGTTCGCAATTTTAAATGCAAACACATGCCAATTACTCTAATTGACACCTACATTGGCAATAGCACTTCATGACACATGCCTTTCTTTTATATAAGTAGTTGTCATTTAAAAAAACATTTATTTGTTTAACAATTCAGTAAAACATATAACCTCTCAACACAGATTGCTGGAATGTGTCGAGACTGAGAAATTAAATGGTAAACCACTAAAAAATTTATCACAAAGAGCATAAAAAATGTTGGGGGAATTTACGTGATTAATTTGTTTAATTTAGTTAGCTCACTTTATTTTATGTATTTATTTAAATGAATTGTTGCTCAATTAATTTTAAAAATCGTATAATATCCTCTGGCACTAAACATTAATTTAAGAAAAGTATGAAGTGGTAAAATTTAAAAACTCGAGGAATTAAAAGCAAACGAAAAACCAACTTTAAAATAATATAGTTCGGTGAGGTACACACAAATACACAATTTGTTATGCAACCGAAATGCGTTGATTGTTCTGCAGCACGTACATGAAACGTAGATATATATTAAAAGAAATGATGGTAGGAATTAATCAATCCGCGTTTGCACTTTGCAGAAACAAGAAAAAAGGCGGGAGCTGCGCTTGAAGCGATTCTGGCGCTCCCCCAAGACGACATCCTCGGAGGACTCCACCGGCTATGAGAGTCCAACGAGGACGAAGGCGTCCAGTGCCGGCGGCAGCAGCGATGCCCAGAGATTTAACCATCTGCACTACACCAGCCTGTCGCAGGGATCGGGCACCTCGTCGTCGGCGGGCGGAGTCACTGCGTCCGGAGCGGGCTCAATGGCGATTGGACCGACCGGCAACAACAAGCCCTCCTGCTCGCTGCCACTTTTGCAGGTGTGGCCCAGCCAGGTATGCACTTGTCTCCCCATTTTTGCTTTTTCTAACACGCTGTGGGGGAAAAAACATGTTCCAAAACTGGGAGTTTAAATTTAACACACTCTGATATTTTTGATTGAATTTTACAACATAAGTTCGGCCGCCTTAAGGTATGCAATTAAATATATTTAAGGCCACCAAAGGAATAGTCTTTTATGCTTAACTTAAAGGAATTTGACTGTGGTTGTAATTTTCTAAAGTATATACCTATTTTCAAAGATTTTAAACTTCTTAAAAAGAAACTTTGTGTCAGACCATAAAAACCAAATAAACAAAAATAACACAAGCACAAACCTCTTTAAGAAAATAACACAAACACAAAACTCTTTAAGAAAATTAATGTTGCATACTTTTAGACAAGAAAACTATTGTTGTAAAATATTAGAAAACTTATGGTTATTTTATATACATTTGATACAAGAACTCTAAATTTAAATGTTATATATATATTTTGGAACATGTTTTTTCTCCCCGTGTACACCAGCAAAAGAAAAGTTAAAACAAAAATTATAGACCAATAAATGTGTTTTGGGGAAAAAGCAACCGCAACAGTATCCAAAAATGGGGCTTTTTAGTTCTCAGTTTTCTTGTTTTCTTTTTTGAAACCACTCGCTTACGAGTTGTTCTTATGCTGTGGCCAGTTGTTTTTGCGTTAATTTGTTTTTCCGACTCTCTCTGTTTCTTCCCACTACAACGACACCACCGAACTCTACCAAACTCCACCAAACACCACCAAACACCACCACCCGCCTTAATACATACATATCCTTCTGTGTGTGCGTTGCGTGTTTGGTTTTGTTTCGGTCATGGTTATGGTTATGGCTGTGGCTTTTGCTTATGGTTTTTGGATTTGGATTTGGTTTTGGTTCTGGTTCGGTTTTGATTGCCGGTCCGTTGTGGTAGCCGCTCCTGCGCCAGGAGGGCTTCGTTCAGTTGCGTCGTAACAGCGGCCCCGAGGGTCAGCGGGTATGGTTCCATCCAGTTCCTCCTCTTTTTCAAGCCTCTCTAGTCTGCTCCACTTACTTTCTCAACTCTCTAACTAATATCTACCTTATATGCTACTCGTAACTCCTAACTAGACTTTTTGCATGCCTCGATTAACAATTTTGAAAAAACAAAAAGCCTCCAACGAGCTATAATCGTTTTTGACTACCAACTGTATAAATCTGACCACAGTACCCATTATTGTTGAGGTTATTTTTGTGTATTCTACAAGTGTTTTTTACCTAGAACTCGTTTTTCATGTAACTCTATTGGGATTTTTTTCGCTAAAATAAATATTATTTTTTCATGCACAATTTTTGGCAAAGGTTGGTCGACAATTGAGAAGAGAATTCGGTTGAAATTGCTTTATATTCGCGCTTACACTTGGTTTGTAATAAATATGCAATTGTTGAATGAAATTTCCATATCGCAATTTGGTGTAAACCTTTCAATTATCACTTTTTATGTGTGACTTATACCGTTTTGGCATTCTGAGAACTTGATTTAATTTTATTTTATTTGAGGACTTAAAGCCTAAAGTAACGAGACAAAAATAAATGTAATTAAAAGGGAAATAATCTGCTTTGGGAAGCCCAAATAGCTTTTACCATTAGGATTCATAGTCTAAAACTTTTTGTTACGAATTCTTTTTAATACTTTATTTGAATATTAACGATTAAGGCAATGCTAACATATAATTTAAACTGCAATTTAGCTGAATCTTTAACAATTACTAACAACTCGAAGATTACCTAATTTAAACCATTATATCATATAAATTGATATTTTTAATTACATTTTTTTAAAAATTTCGCAACTTCTGTTGTAAGCAAAGTATTTTACAAATAGTAATATCCAACCTTTTCTTATCGATCAGCCCTTGCTCACCTTTTGTAAGTAAACTCGACGACACACCACCTTCTCCAGTGTAAAATAATGTCCACCACTGCTACCGAAATAAGTTTTTGCGCCACCTAACTAACCAAGTCACCACTGAGAATTAACCACTCCACCCCCGAAAAGCAGCGAATGCCGCACTGCACTTGAGAAACCAGCTTAAAAACTCCCCGAACCCTTTGATAATAATCCCCTTCCCCCTCCCCCTCACACAAAATGATATCCGGACAATGGTAACCCATCTTATATGTGATCTGGACTCTTGCAGGATTCGCCGCGCGGGGAGGCGGATGGGCAGTCGTTCGTGTTCCCGGCCATCGTGGAGACGAGCGTCAGCAGTCCAGTGGCCATCGAGGTGGCCAGTGGCAGTGGCAGCATCGGCAGCACCCACCTGAGTCTGAATGCCAGGCGGAGCACGAACCACCTCAGTTTGTCCACGGATCGGCGGAGTTCCCTGTACTGTGATACCCTGCACGCCGGCGACTCTGGCATCGACTCGGTGCAGGCCTCGCCCTCGCCGAACGCCTTCATTGCGCCGCCGGGGGTGCACCACTTGCCGCTGGGCCAGACGGGCGGCGGATCCTGCCACGTGTCGCCGACGAGCACGCCCACCCAGGGATCGCCGAATTTGTCGCTGGGCAGGAGGGGCATGCGGAACAGCATTTGCGTGGTGCCCAGTGGCAATGGGCGGCGCAAGTCGAGTGCCCTGCTGCATCCGGATCATGCCCGACTCTTTGCCCTGCGTATGAAACATGCGGCTGCCCTGGAGCGGGCACAGACCTCGCCGGACCAGACCTCCATCGAGGATGCCAACGAGTTCCACGACAACGGACTGGCCACCAATCTGCGGCTGTGCTCGGCCTCCTCATCGACGACGTCGTCGCTGACATCCGTGGCCGCGGTCAGCCTGGGCGGTGCCGGTGGATTGGGTAGTGGCCACTCGGGGGCAGGTGGGGCCACCACCACCGGCGGCTCGTCCTCCGGTTCCGCCTACGCTGTGGGCGTGGCGGGCGTCCAGCAGCGCGTCTCCGATCCCTGGCTGCAGCCGCAATCCGATCGGGAGCGCGATAGGGATAGAGATCGGGATAGGGATAGGGACTCCAGGCACGACGGACGGCGCAGGTCCTCTACCATGACGGCTCGCTACTCCCTGTTCGATGCCCTGGACCTGGAGTACGTGCTGTTGAGGGCCGCTGCCCGGGGTTCCGTGGGTCCGTACAGCCTCAGCGAGTCGATACACAAGCTCACCTTCACCCAGTCGTTGGCATTTCCGGCTCTGGCCAGGGGTCTGGCCACCAAGCGGAGGCGATCGGCGACGCACACGAGCTCCCGGCCATTGAATCCCCATGAGTCGGGGCTGAACACCTGCGCCAAGGTGGTCACCGCCGTCGTCCTGGTGGCCCTGTCCTTCATGGTGTTCCTCATCGTCTACAAGTTCGTGCGGACGTGAGGTCTGCTCCTGGCCCCGTCGCCAGAGCTCCCAGTCACATATCAGGCCAACTACGGAGCGGAGGAGGGATCGTCCTTGTCGTCCTCCATCATCTCATCGGCGGGCCGCAGTCTGGGCAAGCACATGTCGGGGTTCAGGAGTAAATTGGGCCAGCGTCAGGCCGGCGACTTCGAGTGATTCTTAAAGAAAGCATTGAAACAGGCATTGAGAAAACTGGTCGGCAACATTTGCACTACCTCAAATGGTCTTGATATAATTTTTTCCATTCAAACAAAACACTCTATAAGAAAATTGGCATTTTTAAAGCGATTGTAAAAAATGTTTAAAAAAAAAATGTTTAATTGAAAATTTTAATAAAATTATTCTTTGATTCCACAATGTACCTTATTATCTAAAACTATATCCATTTTTTCTTTTTTATCGGTAGTCAAATATAAATAATTTATAGATAGCCCATTAAAAACAGCAAGACTTAAATTTGAAAACATCCCTATCAAAACCTTAAAAGTATTGCAAACAGTTGCTGACCAGTGAAATTTTGTGATAAACTATCAATGAAAGCAAATTTTCCACAAAAGAAAACCAAACAAAGACAAAGACACACAAATGTGTGTAACAAAAATGTAAGGTAATGGAATAACAAATTAAAGGCTTAAACATTAGAAAAAACAGCTTCAAGAGGCTTGCCAGAGTTTCATCAAATTTATAAAATACTTATGAATAATAATATTTTTTTATAAATATTAAAAATCGCTGCTCGCATTTTCTAGGCTCCTATTTGGCAAAGATTTAAGGACAAAAACCCAGAATCCAGTTTCATTGTTTGCGGTTGAAGTGCCTAACTAATTTTAAAATGATTACAAATTGTATTAATAATCTGCTTACTTATGTTTTCTTCATAAAAACGAATTTAGAAAATGGCAGCAGCTTTGAAAATAAAACTATTTATGCGCTGCAGTAGTCCAGATAAATAATCCTGTAGTTAAACATTTTTTGAAGGGCATATACTATATATTGGTGTTGGGAATTTGGAGGATATGTGCATCTTCATTTAAATATAAAAATACATTTTATTTTAATTCTTTTAGGTTAAGATATCATTTTCTGTTTTATCACATATTTTAATGAAATTATGTCAAAGTATTTCGCTTTTATGTATTTTTTTGTACCTTTAATTTTACAGTTAATATTTAATTTCTTGTATAAAATTTTCGGCGCATGGGAGCTTCTATGTCAATTAAATATATCCAACCAATTTGATACCTAATTATCGTCATTAACCAAAGCTTTATTATTCATTACCATTCCTTACAAGCCCCAGAACACCATTTTAGTGTTGAATAATTGGCATTAGTTCTAGGGTTCTGGAATATTGGCAGACGATTGTAGAACCGACAAACAAGACAAATTTGTACTGAGTTGTTAGACGACTAGATGTTGGCGGAATGATATGATATATACGGAAATCCAGGCATATTAAATAAACATATTTATAGTAGATATATATAGTTATACAAGCAAATATATATGTATATGTATACATGCATTATATATATGTATATGGGTGTTTATAAATGTATACCTAAGCGGCTTAAATGTGACAAAGCACTTGCTGAAATACCAATACAAACTCTCTACTCTTAACTTGCTGCCTTACTTTCCTCTAGTGAAAATAGTTGAGAACAACAAGAAAACAACAAGATCGATGAACAAAGTCCCGACTTACAATTACAAATTCTTCATAAATTGCTGCCTTACGAACTAAAAACCTTTTGAAAGTAACATCTTTATCTCTCAGAGCTTTTTTCCTATTTCCTCTATGAGCTTGGCCTACCAATAAACCTTAAAATATGAAAAAAAAAACAAAAATACAAAACAAAAACAGAGACATTTTATATAGAGTAAAAAAATATATACTAAATGTAATGTTAAATAATTGATATTAATACTAAAGCCGGCTAAAGTATAAACATTTGGTTGCATAAATATAAGTTATTCCTTCCTCTCTTTTTTGCATAAATAATTTCAACATTTGTCGATGGCGTTCATCAATATTTATGCATAGTTTTACGACATTCTCTTTTTTGTTACGATTGGTGTGCAACCAACTATGGTTAAATAAAAAAAAAAATGCATATTAAATGTCACACAAACCGAAATGAGAAGAAAATGAAAATGAAAATGAAAAACCAACTGTAATCGTAACTGAAGTAAGTTGAAACGTGCAACAATAAAAAGGAAGAAATTTTCAAATAAACCATTCCATTTGTGTTTCTTTTTCCCTTTGCGATTTTATTCACGGTAAAAGGGAAAATTAAATTGAAAACGTAAAATTTTCACTATATCATTTATGGGTCGTTTTGCTTTTGGCTACCGGGAATCGGAAATAACTAATTGAGAGTGAGGTGCAAAGAAGAATCGAAGCTAATGAAAATGATGATGATTAATGGAAAATTTCGATTTTCAGCAGAAGAAGTTGGAAAATGCTTGGGAGCATAAATGCTGGTAATGGAAACGAATTAAGCGTGTAAACTGAAAGCTACAGGAACAAACTTTGATCCATTAAGAACAACTCTAATTGTACTTCATCTGTTGCCCCTTGAATTTAATTGTGAAGGTTTTTTAATAAATTATTCCTATCGATCAGTTATTAATTGCACGAAATAAATCAATAATTATTATTTTGAATAAATTTTGCACGAATATTGATTATTTTCATTCATTAAAAAGTATTGAACAAATCAACACAATTAATTGCTTGTATTAATTACACAATTATTTAAATTGATGAAATTGAAACTTTTAATTGCACGTATTAAAATCGTTTGATACCGACAGTTAAATGAAATCCGTGTCAACAAAATTGCTGAAAAATAATCAACAGATGTATGTATGTAAAAATGTATGGCTATGTCGTGGTATAGTAAATCATTGTTAAAGGCAATTGCTCAACAATTAGTTTCCATTATTATTTGAACAGTCAGTCAGTTAAAAAGATATTTTGTTAAATATTAACCAAGCTTTTCAGTTTATGGCCATTCATTAAATAATCATGTTTGTGAACCACTAATAATTGAATTGTCAGTAAGCTGGCATCCGTGCATATATTTACGAAATCGATTTAACGCAGATTGATGAGCCAGAAGAACTTTACAAATTGCAGGAAATAAGTTGTTTTGGGAACTTTGGCCAGTTGAAAATGGCTCCAACCCAATCTCCAGTTTCCCATTTGGACAAGCAATCACAGTTGGTATGCGAAATTTTCGCAAAGTTCTTCGGGCCTTGTGATAAATCGTTCTGTCGTTGGTTGTCTTTCGGCCAACTTACTAATCTAAATAATTAAGCAAACTCAATTTGATTTGCCAGTGCAAATATACACATACTCATGTGGGGTATGTAACACCCACATTTCTGTGTGTGCTGCCAACTAATTTATCCATAAAGGGCAAAGCAAACTTGGCTGCCAGACGAAATGGAATGAAAACACTGAGTGAAACCAAGCCAAAGGGACATTTGGCACAGATTGCCAGAACTAGGCCAGAACATTTGACGAAATCCCGGCTGGATTAAAGGCGCTGGGGCCGGAAGAATCCATTGCCATATATACACATATATACACACATATACCAGTACGAAAATATGGTCTGTTCTGGGGGTCTGGTGCATAATTAAGCACGCAAACCGCAGAGAAACAAAAATAAAAGTCCCATAAATGGAATCAGTGACTGTGGACGCAACCATAACAGGGGTAAACACAATTGTCAGGACCTTCGATTCCTGCTGGCCCGGATGTTCATACATATGTATAGCATATTGCGTATACGCAGTGTGTGACCAGTGGGGAGCGAATGCGTAACAATTGCCCAAATAATTGAAATGCCCAGATAATTGAAATGAAATTTTAAACGACTCACTGCATTCGAAACATTTCTATAGCATGACTTTCAATTTCAAGCCTTCACTTTTGGCTGCATTAAAAATATTTCAACAGCTTTTGCTTGCGCTCACAGAGAAAAAATATTTTTAAAATATTTATAAGGTTTATAAGGTGTAAGTCAGGTTTATGGTAATATTGATTATTATTAATGTATAATATATAACTTAATGTTTCAAGTAATTCATTGGTATTAAAACAAATTCAAGGTCACACTGATTATTCTTCCAAGGTTGTAGATATTAGTATAACTGCAACTAATCAGATACTCATTTAAAGTTAATTAATGCATTCATATATTATATATTATATATGGATGTATTGGGATTTCTGGTAGATACTTTAACAAGTGTTTAATACATATATTAACTATTATGAAAACTGTTTTTTATCGGTGTATTGCTGCTGCCGTCTGTTGGTATTTGTAACTTTTGATACGCCTGGGCCGTATATTTTTAGCCCTCAAGGTTGCCAGAACATCGGATGCTCATGCGGATGTGGATGATTTGAAAAGTGGTAGGCAACAGTTAGCAGGTGGGTGGTGGTTGGTGGATGGTGGATGGCTGATAGTCGGGTCTTATTTGGTGGGTGGGGCAGGAAGAGGGTTAAGCACACACGAGCCGCCGCCTTGAGAGCCACCGCAAATGCACCTGTTTTATTTTATTTTTTTCCAGCCTTTGTGCTTAAACTTGTTGCAAATGCGAGCCTCTGTCGAGGCCTTGACTCTGACTGTGGGTGTCCTTGTGTGGGGTTTAGGTGACCTCGGCCAGAAATTGAAATTTTTGTCCGCCTGCTAAGAGCAGCAAAAGATCCATATTTTCGGACTTTTTTTTTACTTTTTTTGGAGAGAGATGGCCGAAACTAGTTTTGGGTCGGAAGTTAAAAGCTGAAGGCTCGACGAGCAACTAGGAATAAATGCATGCAATCAAAAGAAGGAAATCATATGTGCATAAATTTAATTGTATTCGGGGTATAAATTATGATTTCTTAAAATCTTCATAAAGTTCACAAAACATCAACAAAAAAATATATTTTGCAGTTAATTAATCTTTGTATTCCAATAATGTTATAACATTTATTCAAAAACGAAAAAGGTGCCTAATAAATTTTATGAAAAATTACTCTTGGCTTAAAATATATTCCGTCCTAAATTATTGAAGAAAACAAGCCTAAGCGAATTTCCTTGGCCTTCGCAAAAAGGTCAAACTAAATTAGATTTAAATTTTAAATTACGCACACGATGAAAGTAATTTGCCTACAAATTTTGCAAATGATGATCCGCCAAATTGGATGAGGAAGGCATTTCGTGTGGATGGGAAAGCCAGCCGCTCGCAGTTGGGGAAATGGTGTTTTATATAACCAGATAAGACTTTCTGTACCAAAGCCTTGCGCAGACCTTTTGCATTTCAATTAAAAATGATTAAAGATACACAAGAAAAGGTTAAAAGGCGCGCATGCAGCACAATAACTTTCAGGGGGAAAGAAAAACAACCAACTGGAAAAGTAGTAGAAGCCGAGTTGGGAAACTGTCACACACACTCGAACAAACAGATAAACAGTTAAGATTTTCCCTGGCTATATACGTATATATATAAATTCTTTTTTTTTTGTGGTGGCATATTTTATGCCAACGTAGGCCGAACGGTTAAAAAGAAATGTGGGGGTCCTGCAAGCAAGGATATTAGTTTTGCTGACTGCGAAGGGAAGAAAAACAAATGCGGATACATTTTTTTTACGATCCGACCCGGAAACTAGAAACTTCAGTGCAGCAAAAGGACAAGGAAGGATTCCAAAGAAAAGCGCGTGCAGTAAGTTTTCCATTCCCTCAACACAATTGGAAAAGGCATCAAAGAGTGGAGGAATGGAGGAAGAGGGCTGAGGGGTGAGGGAAAAGAAAAGCGACACAGTGTCTGGATGTCAACGCATGTTGCTGGCTCTTTACATCCTTTTGCTCCGTTTTTGTTGGCTTTTAACAATTCTTTTATGATTTCCTTAATAAAACGTACAGTGTAAGAAAGGCAAAACAATAATAGACCAATAATACTTGGGCAATCTTAATTAACTTTACTATACTTTCTTATTTTTCTTTTATTTTGGCGATGCGTTCAAGAACATAATATTATTTAAATATATCCAAGATACTTTTTCTTTGAACCAGAAAATATATATTTTGAAAGGTATTTAATTTATCTTTTTTAAATTTTACATGCAATCTGCACTTTATTTTGCACAATTTTTTTTATAACAGAAAATTTGTACATCAGCAGCCGAAATATAATATACAACAGGTCAGATATTTTCTCTTTCTTAAATTCTGAAAATCTCAGCAGCAGCTGCCGAAGTACTAACATTTTTTCCAATGTCCTATTCTTACAAATGGTACATTTTCTTAACTATAAATTATTACTTTAACGATATTGCAATCTAAAAATATTTGTTTGGTTTTATTTGTTACAGTTTATCTTTTTTAAAATGATAAAAGTGGTATATTTCTATGATATATTTTCCTGTGTACTAAAAAAAACACAAACAGCAGCCGAAATGTCTGCAATTTCCATTCGACAACATATGTATCTTCCTCTGTCAATTTTTCCAATTTCCCTCTCTTTGCGCCCTTTGCCAATGTGCTTTGCGCTCAGCGCTTACTTTTAATGAATTTTAAATTTAATTCATGCACTTAAACTGGCAGCTTAATAAGCACTTTACCGGTCATAACTATTTGCAAATTCAATGCCGGAGCGAGCAAAAAAATGGAGATTTTGTCGAGACCAAGTTCGTCCTGCGACTGACAGCTAATTGAGCTCAGCCTGCTCCTTACGGGCTATTTTACGGCCCCAAAGAACTCGCACAAAGGACGCACGCACACACCTGAGCCTGAAACTGAAGCTTAACCTGAAATCGGGACTGAGTCTCAGGTCCCGACTGTCCGCCCACTGTCTCCCCGGACAATTATGAAATGCGTTTTTTATAGTCCTATTATTGCCCGGGTCCTGGGATGTTTTGCAGGACGACGGCACACAATCGGGCTTTGTTATATGGCCAAGATCGCTTTGTCTCGGCCTGCCGTTGATTAAAATTATACGTGCAAACGACTTGCATAAGAATGTCCTTTTTTCCTTTTTTTTATATAATTTTCCGCTGGTTGAAGAGATTGAAATTAAAATTATTTAAGAGAAGGAAATTCGTGCTAAGGCCGGTTATTAAAAAGGCTCAACATGGTTAACAAAGGGTAATTAATTTTAAGAAGCTTTATTATATAATTTTTGACCAACAATTAAAACTTAGAAGGTGAAGTTAAACCTCCGTATTACTGGGAGTAATATCAACACAAATTAAAACATAAAGCATTAAGTTACAAATACATATTTAAAAGATGATTAAGCAATAGACCTAATCTAGGTTAGCTGTGTAAAGTTTTTTATAAAAGCTATGTATTTAAATAAAATTTTAAAGATTAAAAGCTAAATAATTTGGTCAAGTGTTTAGTAGAACAATGCTTAGAAAAACCACACAAATGTTAACCTTTGGTTGGTTTAACGTCTGTTCTGTTCCTTTGAATCGGTCTTTGATGCCTAACAGACAAAATATTTGTTTATATTTATTAAAAATTTTAAAAGCCATAATTATATGAAAAATATTACAGCCAAAACAAAAATACTTCTTTTTGTGGAAATAAGTGGCGACTTCAGGAAATCTAAGACAATCTAAGAAGTTATTTTAAATCAAATACTTTTTGTTTTAATAATTACAAATTTGAATTTCAAACGCTCAACCAGCAATTTACGATAGTTACGATTTGTATTTATGTTGTCGGTGTGCCCATTTGTGAAATAAGCAGTGCGCAGCTCTAACTTTTCACGGCAAGCAGTGCTCAGGCGCTAAAATTACTCAGTAAGCAGTGCGAATAAACATCGATATGTCCGATATTTTTGACATCGATGTCGGCATCGGTGATTCTCCATTATTTACTCCTCACTAGTCTTACCATTTAAATTAAACAAAAATTTAGACAAATACGGTAATAAACATGCAGCACGAGCCCGAAGAGCAGACTTTCCAACTCCAGGCACTGGAGATCCGCGAACCGGATGACAGTTTCGATCCCAAGAAGCCGCCAGAATCCGGAGAAGAGTACTTAATGCACATGATGTACGAGAGGAAACGCTGTCCAGCGGTGGTGACCAAAAGGTCGCCCAAAATCAGGGATACTACGGGAAACAACGCCTTCGAAATGTTGGATAATGTAAGTATCGGAAATAGTCCAAAGACCATATGGGTAATTTACTGTATTTATATATTTCATAGCCCGCTTTGCCGCCTTTTAAGTGCCTGCTGCCCACGCCCGAATGGCGGGATGAACAGGTGAAATCCTTCCAAGCCGCTCGCTCCCAGGTTTTGATTCTTCGCCGGGAATTGGTCAACCACAACTACGACCAGAGTGGGGAACCCCCGCTAACCTCGGACCAGGAGAAGTGGCAGGAGTTCTGCCGCAAGCAACAGCCCCTCCTGAGCACACTGCTCCATTTGAGCCAAAGTGACTTGGAGCACCTGCTGGAAATGCTAAGCAAATGGCTGCAGGTCAAGGATCAGGACATCGACCTCCTTCAGGATGTCTGGCTGGCCCGCTGGCTATATGCCACCTTGGTGTGTTTGCATCTGCCGCTGGAACCTCATGTCTTCAGCACCCTTCGATATGTCGCCCGATCCTGCATCCAACTGAGGAATCAATTAAAGGCAGAGGAAGTGCAGCGAGCAGCGCCCTACAATCTGCTACTAACCCTCATTGTTCAGGTCTTTGCCCAGAGTGATTTTAAGGAGTATATTTAAGGTATTGATTTCTTGATTTAGTAAGCCCTAATATAAGCACAAATTGACTGTTCAGATTGGTAATCTTAAAAGCCAAGAAGTTTCTCTGGTAAATAAGCTTAAGCTATTTGTACCCAACGATGTTTAGTACTACTTTTGTAAACGTCATTTAAAAACATTCGGAGCTTAGCTGTTTCATATGCTTAATATTGAATTTAATAACATATATGTGCTGAAATATTTTGAGATTCTTAAGTTCAAAGATCACTTAAATTATATATTTTAAATAATGCGTAAAATCATTTTCATTTCCATTTAAAAAATATAATGTCCAAAGATGATTTATTATAAGTTTGAAAATTCCGTAAAGCCGAAAAAATTCTTATTCAAATGGTTAGTTAAAATTCTTTATAAATTCAATTAAAACAAAAAGGTTAGCCTCTATTCCTTTATTATTTTGTAGTTTGTTTAATAAGCAGGAAACATGCGTCTGTAGGCTTGGCAAATGTCACAACTGCTGTGATGATCGTCCAATGGACTGCTGCAGCTGGAGAAGTGGCTGCACTGCGTCAGCGAGGAACTCTGGCTAAGACTACTCAATTGCGTGGTGCTCGAGCAGGTGGACAGACGACGTTCCTGCTGTTTCTGCTGCTCCGGCGAGTCTCCTCTCCATCCGGCGTAACTCGCAGTTGGACAACAATTGGATTTCCTGCCATGGCACACGGATTGCTGCTTCCGAGGCTGGTCCAAATGGTCCAGGCAACGGCTCTCCACATGGCGATTGGGCGGAGGAACGGGTTGCTCTCTGAAACCAGAGCAACTGCAGCCCTTTCTTCGATCCTGCGTGGTCAATTGCGCGGAGAGCTCCACTTTGGGCGCCAGGATTCCGGGAAACGCTGGCGTGGCCTTCATCAACAGCTGGACATTGGAGCTGTGGGCGCAACTTAGCCGAGGAATTGTGGGCTGCATCACATCCGAGAGATTCCCCACAAAGTAGGCCAGCCTTCGACCATTCTGCCAGACGGTTATCTCCAACTGTTCAGCTCGCAGCAGCTCGTGCATGTCCTCCAAGCAGCCCACACTCTTGAAATATCCCTCCATCGTGAATTGGTCGTGGCAGAGCATCGGAAATCTCGGCTCCATCGCTCCGGTTCGAAAGTAGTAGCCCAAGGTCTTGATGGTGGCCTCCAAAAATCCGTGGGAACAGAGCCAAACGCCTGGACAGGTGAGCTGCAAGTAGAAATAGTCTTAGAGCTTAGCCTATATCCCATCGAATCCACCACCAACCGCATGAAGTTGCAAGTCCAACTTCACATAAAACCTTTTGTGTGACATTTTTTGGCTGTCTTCCAGTGAAAGTCTACTTGACTGCCGGAAAGGGGCCAACTTAACTGGCGGGATTTGAGGATTGGGGGTGAAAGCGCGTGGTTCTTTGTTTTGGAGCCACTCGTTGCCGGGGCAGCGGTTAAAAGTGAATTTCAAAGTCGATAACATGTCGATATTAATAACCAAATGTATTTTGTTGTGTTTTTGCTTTTAATATTAAAGTATTTAAGGATACTTTTTAAACATTTTTGAAATAGTCAGCGCAATTTTCCTAGCCCAACAAATTTAAAAGGTTATTTTGGCTTTATAAAGAAGCAAAAATAAATTTTTTCTTTTTTAATTTGTATACAACGCAAAATTTAAAAATTCACAAAAACACAAGCATTTGATTTAAAGCAAATATCAGTTTTGTGTACTGCTTAAATTTTGGTTAAAATTTTTCAGTTCGGGTAAAGAAAAAATCAAAAATGGAAAAAAACATTTTTTTGTTTAAAGATTTTCTTTGGTATAAGAAAACGAGGTATAAAGATTACTCAAATATCGTTTTGCTTAAAATTTTTCAGTTCGGGTAGAGGAAACATTTTATATCAGATCTAACAATTGTTTATGTTTGTCCAAAACATTAGTCGATTTGAATCCTAAATAGAAAAAGTCACAAATTGCCTTTTGACTGCAAATGCAAACCCGTGCGAATCCCCTATTTTCTTTTCACAGCGAAAATAAGATAAAGCAACAGATGTTTTTTTAGTGCGATAGTCTTTTAACTCCTCACTAGTCTTAATAATAAAACAAATACTAATCAAGCTAGGACGATGTCAACAATAACTGAAATACCGGTACATTTGCCAAAGCTATTGGCATTGTTCAAAACAATAGTGCCGAAGTTGACTAACAACAAGCATAAAGGGCAGTATGGACGAATAGGCGTAATCGGTGGGTCTTTGGAATATACTGGTGCACCGTACTTCGCAGCCATTACATCGATAAGAGTTGGGGCTGATTTGGGGCACGTCTTCTGCCATTCAAATGCATCCGCGATTATCAAGTCTTATAGTCCTGATCTTATCGTACATCCAGTACTGGATTCCATAGACGCAGTAGAAAAAATCACACCGTGGTTGGAACGACTTCATGTAGTTGTAAGTACTTGTAATACTTTTGATTACTAATCGACAAAGATTTGAAATTTTTTACAAATACTCGTTTTTGAAAACCAATATGTTACAAATGACAAATTGTTGCTTATTTTTTTTAATACCTTAACATATTTATTGTCTTTTAAGGTCATTGGTCCTGGATTGGGTCGGGAGCCGAGTATTTTGAAAACTGCTTCTAACATTCTGAAACTCTGTTTGAATGTTAAAAAACCAGTTGTTATAGACGCCGATGGATTGTTTCTTCTCAACGATAACTTAGAGCTGATCTGTGGACAGCGAAATGTTATATTGACGCCAAATGTAATGGAATTCCGTAGACTATTTGGAGAAGATAACGATGCTGCTCGTCAAAAGATGTCCCTCCTTGGAGATGGAGTTGTGGTCCTTGAAAAGGGAGCTAATGACAAGGTTCATATTCCCCAAAAGAACGAAGTCCACATAATGCCAATAGGTGGTTCCGGTCGTAGATGCGGAGGTCAGGGCGATTTGCTCAGCGGATCTTTGGCAACTTTTTATTATTGGTCCTTGCAGTCAAATGAACCAAATCCTGCGCTCATTGCCGCATGTGCTTCAAGCTATTTTGTGAAGAGACTAAACTCAGCTGTATTTCAAAAGTTTGGCCGTAGCTTGCTAGCGAGTGATATGGTAAATGAAATAGCTTCTACATTTCAAGCTGATTTTGAAAATAGCGACTGTTAATAAGTCTGAACAAGTGTCCGAAATAGACTATAAACTAATAAAAATATTTTGTATTTTTATAAACTTTTTTACGGACCTTTAAATACAACATAATCATATATCAGCCGAAGCCAGAATTTTAATCCAGGCTTACATTCTGAACATTACATTTTTGGCTTTTCAAATTTTCTTCTATCGAGACAACTTTAAAATATAAAATTATTTATTTGATGCCCCAAAAATTAGAAAAATATAAGCATTTATTTAAAAAAAAACCTAAAATACAGCTAAAGCTGTGTTAAATAATTTAAAAAACATATGCATATGTACAAAAATTCGGTACCACCACAAAAACATGTGCTTTCACATCTGCTAATCTATTAATCTAAAAAAGCTGTTAGAACTTTTTTATGAGTTTTTTTTATAGCCGGTAAAGTGTTTGGTTTTGGTTGTTTCGTAAAAAAAAATAAATTGGTTATTGTCTCGATTTGGATTACTGATAAGAATATATTGTTAAACAGTTCTTATCCGGTTTAATCGGTATCATAAGCGTTAATATTGTATATTAAATTAATTTACAAATTTTTAAGTACTTTTCATTGGAATGGCTAAGAAAATTGTACTTTTTCATCCCTTTGTTGCATGGTTGGTGTTTAAAAATATAAAATAAAACAAAAAACAAGTTTAATCTTGACCTTTATTTTATTTAATTGTTTAGTAATACTATAAAGTAAAATTTTGTGATACAAAAAGCAATGAACGATATGAAAAACTTCAAAAACCTAAATTTGCCATTTTATTTATTTTGCAAACCAATACATTGGCGAATAAAATGCCAAACCGTCAGAACTGCTTACTTTTGAATGTTTTGCAGCACTGCCTTCTTATCGCGAGCGGCATTTCCACGTCAGATTTATTATTGTTTTTCGTATTAATAAACAGAAATGCGCTTCAAAGGAGCTACAATAATTGTGGGACTCCTGGTGGTCCTTCAACTAGCCAAAGGGGATTCCCCCGAAGAGGAACAGGGAGTTCGCTATGCAAATCGCTGTGAGGCCTGCAAAATTCTGTCCGCCGAACTGGAAGCGCGACTTGGAGAGACCGGAAAATCGCACGACGTGATAGAGATTGGCTATTCCGTGGATGATGTGAAGCCCAAGAAACGCACCGAGTACCGCCGGAGTGAACTGCGACTACTCGAGTCGCTGGAGAATGTTTGCGAGCGAGTCCTGGAGTACAATCTGCACAAGGAGCGATCGGACAGCACCAGATTCGCCAAGGGAATGTCGCAGACCTTCCAAACTCTTCACGGTCTGGTGGACAAGGGTGTCAAGGTCGATCTGGGTATACCCTACGAGCTGTGGGACAAGCCACCGGTGGAGGTCACCCAGATGAAGACACAGTGCGAGAATTTACTGGAGGAGTACGAGGAAACCATCAGCGATTGGTACTTCAAGCACCAGGACGAGAAGTCCCTGAGGAAGCACCTCTGCGAGGACCATGTACTCAAGAAACAGGAAGAAAGGGAATGTCTCAAGGAGCAACTTGCTCTGCCGGAAGCGAAAAAGGCCAAAAAACACGAAAAATCCAAGGGGGATAAGGAGGAGCTGTGAAGCCATCAAATCAATTAGTATCTTCAAGAACTACGTTCCTTGTTTAAATACCATAACGAAACATAATTTGAAAATTAAATTAACTTAGTTTTCTAATTCCACTCAAAACATATTAGAAAACTAAGTTAATTCAATTGACTAATCCCCAACTTTGTTCGAAATGGAAAACAAGATGTATTTGTGTTACCTATAGAATCAAAGCAAAAAGTGTGTAATTAGTTTAGGTAAACTTACTCTGTATCTCAATTTTATTTGTAAAACTTCCACATCGACTGAACCACAAAATGTTACTGAAAGTTTCGCCTGGGGACATTGGCTTATTGATTTCGGCCACGAATTGGGGTCAACAATTAAAAGTTGACTGCCCTCAATGAGGTGGACAACCCCCATCGACACAAATACCAGGTGTTTACAACCACCTAAGCATTTTTATAAATGAGATTTCAAGCATTTCCCAGGAACAACTGGCATTTCATCAAAGAGTTTTCCTTGTATACCTGTTAAAAGTTATTATTTACTTTAAAGTATAATAAATATTTGCATTACCATCATTTTTCACTGGTTTCATTGTGTCTGATTTGTTTAACAAACAAATTAAATAAAACGTTGAATATCAAAACAAAAATATTTGAAACAATAATGACAAAATATTATAGTTATATTTCTTAAATAATAGACTTGCCTTATTTGTCTGTAATAAATACGTTGCGTATATTTAAAAGTAAAAAATATTGTTATAATCGTAATTGGATTTTCGATCTTTAAGTTACTACTGGGATCTCCTAATTGCGGGGCTTTCCCACCCAAGAGAGTTTTGTAAAATCGTTAACCAATTCGAGATGGCGGGTGCGAAAACCCCTAGATATTAATTAGCTTAGAGCTTCATCACGTCCCATGGATCGTCCATGTAGTGCAGAATGGCTTTCTCATGCAGTCTGTCGCCAAAGACGTCGCGTAGCAGCCGTAGAACGCGTTCCTCGATGAATGCCACCTGATCCTGGGGGCAATAGTCGTCCTGAGCGGAATGGGCCATCGTAATGGCCACCGGTGGAACTGGTAGTCGCTCTATGAATCTCTTGAAGTTCGCAAAGTACGTCTCCAACTCTTCGGCGGTGCTGATGTGGTGGGGCAAGCCATTATTGTCGGTGGTGCTGCCCGAATCGAAGATCAAATGCCAGTCGATCTCGTCATCTGGATACTTTTCCTGCAGCTGCTCCGCCAGTTTAACAATCCTGGCATAAACTTCCGGGGTAACCACAGTCTCATCTGGTTTCTCCAAACCCTCGAGATTGCGCTCCTCTTCCAAATGCCAGAAAATCGCCTTCAGTGCCTCCAACTGCGTCTGTCGCCTGTCCGCCGTGGCCAAATAATCGGCTATGGTGGCAGTACCCGACTTTTTCACCTTCTCCACGCTTTCGAAATGAAAGATCTCCTTCAGCTGATTGTAGCAATCCGCATCCTTGTAGATCTCTAAAAAGGGATTGGAGGTGCTGAAGAAATCCAGGTCTATGTCCAGTACAAATCCCTTGGCATCCTCCTCCGTTAGGAAATCATTGGGATTGAGACTTTCGTTGTCTGCATCGTGAACCTGCAGCTCCACGCTCTTCACATCCTGGAGATCTTCGGTGGTGCAGTAGTTGCCATCGGCTATAAAGTAGTCCAGCGGACAGTCCACGCCAATTCGGTCCTCCTTTTGACCAACTTTGAAGTCATGCCTGCCAGTGGGCAGCTGCTGGCACCACGAATTTTTGAGCCACACCACTCGGTTGAAATGACCTGAAAGCGAAAGTAAAACAAACATGTTGAGTTGAGCTTTTTAATTAGGTAAACAAATTATAACATATATGAGCCTTTTACTTCTTGTCAATCAATGTTGAATCATTAGGTTTATCTTTTATTGCTTTTAATTTACTTTAAAGTAGTTTTATATGAAACATAGTATGAATAGTTTTGGTGTCGGTTAATAATACCAAACTTCATAACAATTCTATTAAAGATAAAAGATAAGGATTTAATCCATAAAAATTTGACGGCTTAATAATTTAGTTTTAAAATTCTCAAAACATCCCGCGAAAATTTATCTCTGGGATATACTCAAATTGTTATCTTGAATTATTAAAACCCGAGAACTGGCGATTGCCAATAGAATAATTGGATGAACATTCGTGATGGTAAGTAAATATTGACTATTACTTTCTTTCTTTTTTTTTAATTTTTACTTTATATATTTAAAGTTTGTAAACAATTCTGTAGCTAAACTATTCTAAACCGCAGACTTGTGAACATTATATGTATAAAGCTCCCCCGATTCCTTAAAGACTACTCACCTGCATATAGAGTGGGCATGATCCAGTTTTCGATGCTCAGTTCGTTGAGCATGGTGTCCTTTTCGTAGGCCGAACTGGCGGCTATATGTCGGGGTATAACCAGATCCGGATGGGAATCGAAGTGCACGAGGGTGTTGTTCGCCAGGGGAAGATGACGGGTGGCCAGGCAGCGATAGATGAACTCCAGGACATCGTTGTGATAGTCCACGATGAAAACAGGGATGCGCTGGAAGTTCCTCAGACTGTTTTGGGTGGGATTTTGGGGAGTTTCCCTGGCGGGGATTAGTAAGGGAACTTCCTCATCATCATCCTCCTCCTGCTCCTCGTCATCATCATCCAGATCTTCGCTGTTCTCGCTCTCCTCCTCCTCCTCCCGGTTTTCCTTCAGATTCTTCTCCGGATTCTCCTTTTTTTCGTCTGCAGTCTTTTGTCTCTTTGTTGGCGGTGCCCCATCCCCCTCCGCCACCCCCTCGTCAACAGACGTCGGCACCCATTTCTTCGTACTTTCGGGACTTTCACTTTGCGATAGCTTTTTCAGGGCCGCCGCAGCACTTTCATTATCCAGCGTATCCGATTCCATTTTCCCTCGGTTTACTTGGCTAGCAATCCTTGTTTTTAAGCACGTTCTTTGGTTACTTTCGCAGAAGGCAGACTTTATATCTTTTGCATTTAATTTTTATGGGGGGTCTTTGACCACAAACAGCTGTTTGGCAGTGTGACCAGTTCTCGCGAGTAAAATTAAGTTTAATTTAAGCATGGTTACCCTAGAATAAGGGCTCACTAGTTAACAAATATCGATAACTTTATATTGTTATAGTTGATAGCGCCCGCCTAATTTGAAATATTATATTTAGTCATGAACCGATTTTATTATATTTAATAATACTTGATTCTCTTAAAGAGTATAATATATCTATAAAACTAATATCAAGTCAATAATTGCTGTATTTTAAAGCTGGCTTATGTAAATCGAGGTTATACAAGTAATTTTATAAAAATTACTTATTATTTATAATTAAAATTTATACTTGTTTATAAAATCTTCATTTTTAAAAATGTACAAGTTTTTTGTATAATTAAACAAATATTTATTAGTCAAGTTGTGGTTTAAGAGCAAATGATTAGTAAAGATCACATTTTTGTTTACTAAAATATATTCTCTAAACAAATTAAAAAGGGGGTTGCACTTCTTTAAATATAGTGTTTCATAAATATGTTGGAAATTGGAAGTTTTCCTATAACTGTTATAAAAATAACGCAAAACAACGATTTTAGTCTTAATTTCTTAGTTCTTGATGGCAATTTTTCGGAGAGCAGTTCATTAATTAAACAACACTTTATAAGCTCAGCCCACACACAAGCTCTTTACAATCCGCAATCCGCAATCCACACATCTCACACTCCTACCACCACTCCCACTCCCCGCCCACCGACCACCCACATTTCAAGGTTACTTCGCATTTGGAGACTTTACGTCCAATCAATATTCCGTGTGTATCCGAAGCTCGGTCGCTTGGCATAATGCGATTGCCATTGAGATGGACTGAGAAAAGGTGGCTCGCAAGCTTTTAGCCCGCAAAAAGCTGGCCCAGCGTTCCGCCCACGCTTCCCAGAAGCTTTTCATTCATAAGATTTATATATATATATATATATATATATATATATATATGTATATAAATGTATATATTGTCTTTTTCGTTGGACTTTTTGCTTTTGCGGGGAATTGGACGCCCACATGGCTGATTGGAATGCGTAAAATGCTGGCACAGTGTGTATCTGTGAGTTGGCCGCTGTTACTTTGTATCTGTGCGTTTGTATCTTGTATCTTTGGCTGCCTCTGTGTATTTTGCCATTTTGCAGCTGGTGGAAATGAATGGCGGCTTGGCGGTCTGGAAAAGCGTCGACTGCGCTGCTCGGGCGTTGGCGTGCAATATTTCCGCCGTCGAGCGTTATCAAAAATATAATAGTATATATATATTGTCGGGTGTCCCTCTTGCAAAGTACATACAGCGACGCTCTTCTTTTATTACCATTTTTTTGGGCCAAGTCATTGCGTGGGCCGCGGCGCCTTCAATGGCAGACTTATAATACCCACAAATCGCAGTAACTGCCAGATCCACATTGTCATGATTAAATCCGTTCTATCTTAATCAATCGGGTTGCCTATTAATCTATTTATTAGCTCTGTTTGAGGTTTAGTTTAAATCGTTACAAAAATTGTCAAAAATAATAGACTACTGATATTGTTTAAATTAACAATATTGTATTAAATAACAAATTTACCTTAAATTAATTGAAAGCTCACTTTAATTTAATCACTCGAACTAAAGTTCTTTACAAAGCCATGATGATTTGAGTCGAAGACATTATGGCAGCAGCATTTCTAAAGCAAAACAAATAAAAACAAGAAAAATCGAAATCCAATTACTGAATCAATTTGGTTAATGTATTTCTTCCGGTTCATAATCAAGTGGGGGTGGAGGGCAGTAAAAGACCGAGGCCCCTTGGAAAGCTCTTTATTTACTTTACAAATTACTTGGGTCAACATAATTAAGGAGCTGCCAGCTCATTGCACACCCATAAAAATTCCGAAAAAATATCACTCTGGTCGGGGATATCCCCATTCCATATATAAAGAAACGGAAGTGCCAACTTCGAGAGCATCGCCCCTTTAACTCGACTTTTGATTGAATCAATTGGCTGCAATTTGGCTTTTCATTTTTGTTTTTGTATCAATTACAGTAGCTCCGCGCTTTCTCTAGCCGTCTCACCCAATTCTCGCAATTAATTTGCCTTCAGCTTGACCCTGGAGGTCGAACACTGCCTCGCATTAACCTTCGTTAGCCCCTCCGCCATTTCAATTGAAGAAGGATGGACTGGCGATGACAACGACGACGATGATGATGATGATGGCGAAAAAGAAGTGGAAGTGGCGGAAATTTCTGCGCTCGAATGCTCTAGTTTAAAAATACAATCTCGTAAAGTCAACACCAAAAAAAAACCCAAAACGAGGGATGCTTAAGAAAAAGGGCAAGGACATAAGCACGAATTTAATATCAAGAAACACTAGTTACACTTTTGTTGCTTATTTTAAAACCACATAAATATGTAGGCCTTTATTAAATTATATTAATTAATTCCTAACAAAATTAATAATGCATCAAATAAAATTATTTTTTTTTAAATTTTCTATTTACTGAATTTTAAAATACTTTATAATACTCCTAATCTTAATCAATGTTAAAGTTTTGCTTCTGTCTAACAGAATTCCTAAATGATTTTTAAATGAGTACTTAAAATATTAGTTTACAATAAAAAAAACTAATTGTCGAGACTTGCTAAAAATAAAAGTTATTTACAAGTGATTATAAAAACCTCAACCACAACTTTTCCATATAATATTTATATAATATAAACAGCTCATAAACTGATGTATTCAGAAGTTGCAGACAGCAATTATGAGTTGCCTAGAATTAAGGTTCCGCAATCAATTCACAGTAAAATAAAATGCAGAAAACTCATTGAGCAACCGCCGAATGACGTCAGAAGGATTTTGATCCTGGCGTAGATGCTGCTGCCTTTCCCTTTCGTCCTGTATTTTGTTTTATTTTATTTTATTTTCCCTGCGAAAGGAACACGTGGCACGGGCTGCTGTTTAAGCCACCGTGAGCTGAGTGAAATGGCCAAAGTGAAATGAGTCAGTGGAGCCATACAGCAGCAGGCCCAAAGTGGGTACAACCAACGTCATTCGAATTTCAATTCGCTGAATAGTCAGTCATTTGGTCAGGTCGCAGTTTGTTTCGTATCAATCGCAACTTTTGCTCGCGTGGGCGCCCAAAGCCAAATGATTGTTTCACATCTGTTGCCCCTTTGCGTCTTCAATTCTTTGTTTTTTTAAGCGTCTGGAATAGTTCTGATTTTTTAGCGATTTAATGGCTCTTTTATCTGCTGAAACTCATATCATTCATTGGGGGAATTCAACGATTTAGAGTATAAAACAATTTTCAAAAGAAGTATACATGTTTTTATTTTAAGAGAAATTCTTCATATTTCATAATAACAGTTAACTTGTTTAATTACATAAAAATGATTTGATTAATAAAATATCATGTTTAGTTTTAAGTTTTGGGACATTAAAAAACAATGATTACAAAAGTTATTACGCATACGACAGGTGTTCCAGATCAAACTAAGATCAATGTAATTAATAATAATTCTATGTTATGGGTTAAAAGAAGCCAAACCAGATAATTTTATAAGCTGCAAAACTAAATGTGAAAATTTGATATTTAAAGCAGGGATGTAATTGTAAAACAATAATTGCGCATACGGCAAGTGGTCTAGATCGACCCATGAACAAATAAATAAAGAAGAATGTAATACTAGTAATTTGAATACATTTTGTGGATTACATTTTTAAAAAATGTTTTTTTTTTAATTGAGTAATTAGTTTTTTGGCTTCTAATTTTTGAGCAACACTTGTCTGGAACAACGTCATTGGAGTGCCTCGAATTTTAAATGTTGGAAGGGGGAGGCGCACGAGAATATATATGTAGAGAATCGGTGAGATATATCAGCCTCTTTGGGCTGGTCAAACGTCAAACGCACGTCCATTGTCGATTGTCGATGGTCGTTGGTCGATTCTCGAGACCCGTGTGGCGCCCACCGACATCCGCTGCTCACATGGGCGAGTGATTCACAGAAATCTCTCGGAACGGAACTCTGGGGGCTGGACAACGATGTGGGCTGGTTTTATACCCAAATACGAGTGCCAATATGTGTGTACGTGTACGACAAGTATGTCTGATCAGGCAGAACGGAAATATGAATGGCAGATAAGCGGACGCGCAAATTCTTAATCCCATTTGAGTTGTTTTAGGTCAGTAAAGCAGAATGCAAAAGTAGTGTGGGAGAATATGGCTACCAGTGGGTTAAAGAATAAGTTTTTTAGTTTTCAATGAAACCTAAGTATTATATCAATAACACTTTAAATCATTAACTAAAATTTCAAATATTAAATATTAACTCTTTATAAAATGCGACAAGATAATTCAGTCTCATTTGGTTTGCCCATTTGCCAAAAGTATAAATTGTAGCTCTTATGGAAAAAGACAATATATCATGAATAAAATGAAAGAACTCTGATATAAAAAAAATATAAAATAATTCTCCGCACTGCAAATCACGATGATCCCCTTTTTTTCATTTTCCCAGAATTTTCCTCATGGGTAAGAATCATCCAAAATCGGAAATGGCCATGACTGAGTGTATATACTATATCTAAACACATTCGCGAGCGTCATCATCTTTAAATTGATTAGACAATAGGTGGCCTGATAATCAAGGCAAAGTCCCGTCACCTGAGCTATTTGAAAATGCCAATTGTGAGGTGCAAGAAATTTAATTTCATTCTTCAGTTTTGATTTAAGTTTACTGCGATAATACAGATAATGCGTCAAGTGATTCATTGAGCTATAAAAATGGGTTGGGTATTCCCTTTTTGGCTGGAATTAGACTTTAAACTTGTGCTATTGAAAAAAAAGCCTTAAGGACTGACCTTGGTTTCTACACTGGCAAAAATAATGTAATGTCAAGGTCAGCCCCCAAGACACGCGGAACGTGCAATTGAGCAGCCTTTTGAAGTGAGCTATCCAGGTGCTTACTTGAGATTCCTATAAACTCGAGAGGGGCACTGTACAAAATTAGCAA